GAACAAGCCCAGTTCCCTCAACCTCTCCTCGTAGGAGAGATGCTCCAGTCCCCTCCTCATCCTTGTAGCCCTCTGCTGGACTCTCTCCAGTAGCTCTTCATCTTTCTTGAACTGGGGAGCCCCCAGCACTGGACACAGCACTGCAGATGAGGCCTCACTCTTGTGCTCTGGTGTTAGAGCTGTCCGTACCGGCTGTCACACGCGTCCTCTCGCTGCGATTAGCTAATTTCACCGCTAAAGCTGGCTTTAAGGAGATTAGGGGACGGGCTGCGTTCTGTGGAGCTGCCCGTGTGCGTGCTAGGTCAGTAGCTAGTCTCGTGTTCGCTCCGAAGTTCATCAGCATTCACCCAGCAACGGGATTTCTGAGCAGCAGAACTGGGCTTGGTGGTGTGGCAGGGGGCACAAGCCCGGGCGCCGAGGCACTCGTGGCTGTTGGACTTGGCTTTAGGGCTGCCGGGGGTGAACAGCAAACCAGCGCCTTGCTCTGCGTCCGCTCCCGGCCCCGCTGTGTCCCAGGAGAAGGTCACAGACCATCTTCTCGCTTGCTCATTTATGGCTTAAGGTGGATGCAGCAGCGTGTTTATCGGGCAATTTAAATCACTGCTAATTTTGTCCTATTAATTTTGTCAGCCACAGGGTTACTAATGACTCGTTCTTTGTCCACGTGAAAGCAACGGGTAATGCCAGGCTAAGGAGCCGTCTCTTTGGGCCTCTCTGGGAAAAAAATCAGTGATCATTTCCTTTCTAGTGTGTATTTTGAGACCTGTCTTTTTACTTAATCATGGGCCTTGCGGATTTTTATGTTTCATTATTAAAACTGCACACATCGGGCAAGGCGGAACGACTGTCGGAAGGCCGTGTGTGTCAGCAAAGGTGCTGCTGTCGCTGGCTTTACACACAAATGAGTTTGCTTTACTAAACAATATTAATTGATGTTCAGTTTTCTAGTTCTGCTGCCCGTTTGGTTCTTTGATTTCCAATGTGTGTGCCGCCGTTTGGTGAGTAATGAACTGAAGAGCTGGCTTGCGTTTCGCAGCGGCGTGCTGGTAGATGAACCCGGGGCGTCATTCCCGTTCTCAGACCATACCTGGTGGAAAATTAAACGTAGCCGGAGTCTGGAACGTGTGTTACCTGGGTGGACTGAGGACTTGCTTTATTGCTGATGGGTTACTGGAGGTGTCGATCCTGTTAAATGATGCCACCTGCCCAGAGGGGCTGGGGAGTCTCCTTCTCTGGAGATATTCCAGCCCCGCCTGGCCGTGGTGCTGTGCAGCCTGCTGTGGGTGACCCTGCTTGGGCAGGGGGTTGGGCTGGGTGACCCACAGAGGGCCCTTCCAACCCCTGCCATGCTGGGATTCTGGGATTAGCGAGAGAAGCAGTATCATACGTTTTTGAGAAATTCTGTTTATAATTAGGATTACCAGGAAGATTTCTAATGCTACTTTTCTCCAGCTCTGTATTCCCCCCAGCTCCCAGCCAGGGTCCGGGGCACAGCTCGCGAAATGCGAGTCTCTGTCTGCAGCTTGAGCTGGAGGAGATCCAGCTTTCGCTTTGTTCTGCCTTCCCCTCAGCCCTCACCTTTCCCCTCTCAAAAGCCAGCCCTCCTTCCCCCTCGAGCCCTGGACGTGCTGGTAAGGCTTCGCTCGGACGCCGCGGGCGGGAAACACCCTGGGAGTGTGAACACAGGAGCTTCCGAGCAGGGCACGTGACGGGCGTTTCATTTTGAGCTTATTTTCATTTAAACAGCAAGCGTTTAGCGAAAGCCTGTAGAAGGCATCGTTAACGTGCCTTTCACAGCTGGAAAATGTGAAATGTTTTCTAGGCTCATACATCCCATAGATATATATCTGTCTCCTGTATCACTGTTGTATAAACGTGTGTGTGTAAATGGGGTGAAGCTAAAGCCTTGCGAAGAATCTATTTGCCTTTTTTTGCAGTTCGCTTCAGCAGTTTAAATACAGCTTTGCATGCAGCTCGCTTCTGCGATGGGAATACTGTGCAACCTGGTTACAGAATGAAACTGGAGAGTTTTTTTTTTTTAACAGTTTCTTCTAATATCTGTGTAGAGATTTTTCTGCAGTTTCTCCCTAGCCCAAGGTGGAACTGCTGCGCTGGGAGAGCTTCTGGCTTCGTGGCGTGGGGCTGCGTGTAATGGGAATACGCTCAACTAGTTGCATTGCTGCTCACTTCACAGACTCACAGAATGTTGGGGGTTGGAAGGGACCTCTGGGGATCCCCCAGCCCAACCCCCTGCCCAAGCAGGGTCACCCACAGCCGGACCCCCCCCCTGCAGATATTTAGAGGCATTTCCAAGGTCCCCTCTGAGCCTTCTCTTCTCCAGGCTGAACAAGCCCAGCTCCCTCAGCCTCTCCTCCTAGGAGAGATGCTCCAGTCCCCTCCTCATCCTCGTAGCCCTGCGCTGGGCTCTCTCCAGTAGCTCCTCATCTTTCTTGAACTGGGGAGCCCAGCACTGGACACAGCACTGCAGATGGGGCCTCACTGGGGCAGAGCAGAGGGGGAGGAGACCCTCCCTCGCCCTGCTGCCCACACTCCTCTTACTTGAGCAAAAAGTCACTTTAATGACAAAGGCATGCACGAGTGGTCTCGCTGCTGTCGTTCCAGGTAAAAGCCTCCTCTGGGTGTTTGGGGAAGGCTTCTCGGATGACCCCCAGCTGACTCGGTGCCACGTACCCTTCCTCCCTCAGCTGCGTTTCCTCTGCACGTGCTCTCTGTCGCGCGGCGCTCGCAAGGCTTCGAGGCAAAGCTGGGTTGCCGATGAGTACTGAGCATCCGCAATACCTCTTGCATTAAAACCTGACACCTGTTTATTTGATTAAAAGCTTAATAATCTTCCAAGGGCTTTGGGATTCCGAGCGTCAGATCGATAACCTAATGCCCTGTTTTCTTTCCAGAAGTGCCATAGGATGCATGAAGCGTAGCAGGCGTAGTTGGCTTATTTGTTCCCTTAAAGCACTTTGTTTTGTGATATGTGTGTAAAGCAAAATCCTGTGGTTTATCCTCAGCACCTAGCAGCAGTGGAAGAAAGAAAGATCAAGTCCCTGGTCGCCCTTTTGGTGGAAACGCAGATGAAGAAGCTGGAGATAAAACTTCGCCATTTTGAGGAGCTGGAAACCATCATGGACAGAGAGAAAGAAGCAGTAAGTAGGAGGGTACTAACCTGAAATTCCGCGTTAAATCAGTCGCTGCCAAGATCTGTGCATGCGAACAGCTCTAAAACTAGCAGCTTCAGCTGTTCCTCACCTTCACGCAGGTCCTTCTACTTCAGCTAGAAGTCAGAATTACCCTCTGCAGCAGCATTGGAGCCTTCTGCTCCTTTATCCACTGTCTTCTCTTTACCACAAGCAGCAAACTGGTGGTATCCTAGATTGGCTTCCTAATCCTTACTCCCCTTACCTGAGCAGGAGTGTGGGTTGGTGCTAGGTCTTTATGTGGGCGTTCTCGCATGGGTGATACCTGACACACAGATGGCTTTTCCCTGTAAAGAGAGTGAACTGGGTGCAGATCCTGCTTCCCAAAAGGAAGGGGAACCAGCTCTGTCTGCCTTTCCTTCCTGACCCGGTTTAGACTGGAGATTTGGGTGTAAGAATGTGGGTCAGGTTGTTTTTGGAGGGCGTTCTCAGTAGCTCTTGGGAAGCTCCTTGAAGTGAGATGCGGTAGCAGAAGGGTACGTGATGAGGAGTAACAGCTTGTTTTGAGATGATGATGGGTTTGCCTGTGCTGGAGAGGGCAACGGCAGCTTCGAGAGAAAGGGAGGAAATGATGATGGCAGGAGATGGGAAAAGGTTGGAAAAGACCTCTGAGGTCATCAAGCCCAACCATCACCCCAACACCCCCATGCCTGCTAAACCACGTCCCCACGGGCCACATCCAGACAGTGACCCCTCCAGGGATGGGGACTCCCCCACTGCCCTGGGCAGCCTGGCCCAAGGCCTGACCACTCTCTCAGCACAGACATTTTTCCCAATCTCCAAGCTGAACCTCCCCTGACGCAGCTTGAGGCCATCGCCTCTCGTCCTGTCGCTGGTTCCTGGGGAGCAGAGACCAACCCTCCCTCACTGCACCCTCCTGGCAGTCTTGATGGAGGTCTGGCCTGCTGAAGAAGCTGCTGACACTAACAGTGTGTGTGTGTATATATATATATATAAAGGATGCACCCCAAGCAGGGCTGTATTTATGTTGTAGCACTATTAGTGACACCTTACTGGAGACTTGGGTATCCTGAAAATCAGGGTATAATGTGGAGGAGACCCTCACCTGCCTGTCAGCAGCTGGATTACATATCGACTCGTAAGTGTTCTTTCATAGCAGGCTTTCAGAGAAGCAGTTTCTTTCCAGCTATTGTAGAGATCACCCAAAACTTCATTTTTGTTAGAGAGCAGTTGGGGGTTTTTTCACTTTTCTGCAGTGATTTGTTAATAGGCATTATTGTCAATAGGCAATAGTCATTTTTTGTCAATAGGCAATTACTCTAGACGTGGTGAGGCTATTGACTCATAATTTAGGGTTTTTCACATTTGCCCTACCACGCAAAGTTAATGGAATTTGCATCCTGACTTTAGCATTAATCACACTGATAGAGTTTGACAAACTGTGGTGTTTTGTTGTAGTGGCATGTCAGCAAGAATTTCAAGATGGCTCAGCATCCACAACCGTTTCAGTGTGGTGTTTGACACTGATTGGCAGCTCGAGAAATGGACCTAACTCTTTTGAAAAGGTTCTCTGTAGATGTCTGTCTTTGGGGGATATAGTCTGTTAGTGACAGGATGCTTTTTTTTTCCCCATTTTCAGGCAAATGACATTTTCCTTTTTAAAAATACGCACACAAATTTTTCACTTAGCTTTCTGGTAGTGAAATTTGGTGTTTTCACCTGTCATCGTGGATGTTTAGTGGAATAATTAGAGCCAAAAATATTCCGTAGTGCCATTGCCTACTCTGCGTACGTCCTGATTTGCTGCACTGGCTTTTTCTTATGGTAAAGGTAAAGCGCTTCTAAGTGTTGAAAGAAATCTGCGCTGCAGAGTGGAGGTTTTGGGCAAAACATGTTTACTTTCAGTGTTTCAGCTAAAGTAATTTCAGTGCTGCCAGCTTGGTGTCCAACCGGGGATCCGACTGGTAGGAGCCTTGTTGACCCGGAATTTATAATAGCAGATGAACGCTTTCTTTACCCAGCTCTGTTTAAGGAGGAGAGACCTCACAGAATCCCAGCATGGCAGGGGTTGGAGGGGACCTCTGGGGGTCACCCAGCCCAACCCCCTGCCCAAGCAGGGTCACCCACAGCAGGCTGCACAGCACCGCGGCCAGGCGGGGCTGGAATATCTCCAGAGAAGGAGACTCCCCCTGCAGATATTTAGAGGCATTTCCAAGGTCCCCTTGCAGCCTTCTCTTCTCCAGGCTGAACAAGCCCAGCTCCCTCAGCCTCTCCTCCTAGGAGAGATGCTCCATCCCCCTCATGATCCTCGTAGCCCTGTGCTGGAATGCGTAGAAGAAAAGTTTTCACTGGTTTTCCTAAGTATAAGGCGTGTTTCCAGACACTGGATGCTGTTTAGGGATGCTTGTAAAGACTTTTTTTTCTTTAAAACTGTAGCAGGATAGGGTACCATGAAGAGAGCAAAGCAGGAGCACAGAGGAGTATAAAAAGAATATTAAAAGTATGGAGTAGCCGTGCTTCTTGCCTAAGCCTTGGTTTTGGGTCATTTGCAGTAATTCTGCTCTGAAGTGCCTGCCACCTCCAGAATCTGTCTCCACACACGCACAGTTACACCACTGGTGTACGTGTCTCCTCAGTTTATGAAGTTCTGCCCGCTAACGCATCAGATTGGTCAAGGAAAAAGGAGTCACGGCGGCGTGAAGAACGGCATTGTCGTCCCTGCGTGCAGGAAGCCGGCCCCCAAGAAGGGGGATGTTTTATTCATTAGGCTCCGGCCCCGTCTGGTTCTGCCGGTGAATGCCTGCTCTGTGGCGTTCTGTTTCCATCCGCGCTTTGTCAGCAGCCGAACTCCGAACCCGAAGTATTGATGGAGCTGCGGGGTCGTTGGAGGGCTTCTTCTGGGTGGAAGTCTCCTTGGCAACCCGCCTTTCGGATGAATTACGGAGTGTGTCTTAAAGCAGTCGTTAAATATTTGTAAACGAGTCACACATTTCTAAACTAGTCATGCAAATCCATATGTTGGATTGCTAAAGAGTCACAGATATAGAAAGCATTCAGATTTCTTAAATAAACCCCATAACATAGGCTTCCTCAACCATGGCAAGGAGCAGTTCTATAAAAGCCCTTTAGTAAGAAACATTTTCCGTAGCTTTTCATTTTGGGCCTGCTTACTCCCTACACAGCTTCGTGATTAAACAAAGAACCTATTATACGTTCATTTGCCTAAATTGCATGAGGCTTGCTTTTTTTTTCAAATAATACACTTCTTAACAGTATAAATCACTGCTGTCTGGGTATTGTGGTGTCCAGGTCCTGCGCTTAGAGATACGGGGTGGGATCCTGCCTGTAGTCACGGAGCTGGTGCTGTTGCCCATGCATTCTGCTTTGCTCTTGCCCTAGAAAATGTCTTTAGTTTCCTGTCCTTCCTCGTTCCAACATGTAGAAGATTGAGGAAAAAAAACGTGATTTATTCTAGAATTGTGTTCAGGCTGGATATTCTGCACAGTAATTATTGAGGGATGTGTTGGTTGTGTTATTGAGAGATTCTTTAGGACAGAACCAGGTGAGTTCCTCTGTTCTGGTGGGAACAGGGCCTGCTCCAAAGCGTGCTGCACCTCAGACAGTCGTGTATCGGTAGGATAGATCTTTGACTTGCAAAAAAATGTGTTAAATGTGCAGTTCCTAACTTCACCCTGCCTTTTTCCCCCCTTATTTTTGACGTAGTTAGAGCAGCAGAGGCAACAGCTGCTGACGGAACGCCAGAATTTCCACATGGAGCAGCTGAAATACGCGGAGTTACGGGCTCGCCAGCAAATGGAGCAGCAGCACAGTCAGACCCCGCAGCAGCCTCCCCAGCACTCCCCGGGATGAACCCCCTTGGGGCACCAGCGCATCCGGGCTTGCTGCCTCACCAGCAGCCCCCGCCGTACCCGATGATGCACCACCAGATGCCACCGCCTCACCCGCCGCAGCCAGGTAGGAGAAAATCCCCTGACGTTAATCGCCGTTCGTTATAGAGTAAGATCAGAGAAAGAGGCATTGCCAGGTTAAACTGTGGAAGGTGTAATGGATGGTCCGTGATAACTACTGGTTTGTAAGGGTGCTGCTCATAAAACAGCAACGCCATTTGCTAGAAACATGAGCTTTGCTTGTACTACAGCTTCATTTTGTAGTTTTTCCCCCTGTACCCGATGTGCGGATGGAGTTTTGGGGAGGAGGCACCTTCTCGATGTCTATTCATCTGCCACTGTCACGTCCTCCTAGGGAAGCTCAGGAAGTGTGGGCTGGGTGAGTGGTCGGTGAGGTGGATCGAGAACTGGCTGAATGGCCGAGCTCAGAGGGTTGGCATCAGCGGTGCTGAGTCTGGTTGGAGGCCTGGAACTGGTGGGGTTCCCCAGGGGTCAGTACTGGGCCCAGTCTTGTTCAAATTATTGATCAGTGACCTAGATGAAGAGTTAGAGCGTACCCTCAGCCAGTTTGCTGATGACACCAAACTGGGAGGAGTGGTGGAT